AGCACAAGAGGATTGGATTAATTCAACCTTCATATAAGTAATTTAATTTAGTTTGAAATTATGTCACACCATACAACATAATATCATGCCACTGGACAAGATGAGACACTATAAAAATATTAGAATTAGAATTAGCCTTTAGAACAATGAAATTAATTTGCGTAACTATTTGAATGTGAGACAAAATATTAAAATTATTTATAATCTTTGTTCTCATGTATGAATTTGGACAAAAAAAAACTTGTTTTGAATGACACCGTGATTAAAAGTTAACATTTTTGAGAGATCACTTTTTTTCACGTTAGATACAGGGCCATACACAAGACACACTGAAATTAATGGCATCTTGGACACAATCTTTTAACTGACCTTGAGGATTGTCATGAACATGACATTTTAACAATGTTTTAAGGACATTTTTAAAACAAGTGATACTTTAATCAGCTCTTATTTTACTGATTGCTTTTCTTTCGACCTCCAGCGTTTCTTTAAGAGTCTTGTTTTCTCTTTCCTGCTTCTTTATTTAAGCTCTTAACTAAGTTTGAGGAGTTTTTCTGTGATGTGTATTGTTTTGTAGATGGACTGTGGGAAGGTCAGTAGCTGCCAAACTCTGGACTGGAGGACTAGGAGCTGACAAGAATAGCAGCTTGTGGATCTTAAATTGGAGAATGAGTAGACTGGGAATCATGAGCGGGAGAACCACAAGCCGGAATTAAAGCACCATCATATTCGTGAGGCATATCTTGGCCTTCAGGTGATGGGGGAGTTACATATAAAACGGCTGCCAGATCTTTCTTTCTCTTCCTGCCCCTAGCCTTTGTCTTCCTCTATTGCACACATTTCTCTTTTGTTTCAGTAGACAATGTATATTTCATGGTTAAATTTCCTCTTTTGCCTTCTTTTCATGATATATGTTGATAAAGACAGCTGTTACATGTATTTGCAACAAAATGTATTATCTTCAGAAATAAAAAAGGCTTCACTAACTGTCTCTCCCTATAACAGCTTATTTACTTTCTTTTTTTATCTAAGGATCTCCTCATCTTTATCCTGGTTTAACCTTTCCCTGTACCCCTTCTCTTTTCTTTGCTCACTCCTAAAATCAGACAAAAAACACTTTCAAAACATTTTTTTGTGGCAGTCCTTACACAACAAATAATCACAAATACCTTATGTAGCCTACATTTTAAAAACAACAGAAATATAACTAGCAACTCAAATAACTTACGTATGTCACGCAGCAGGACAATGTTGTCACACAACAGGACGTCTACACCATTGTGTCCGATTTCAATCCTTGACATACAGAACTGACCTTAAGCAATTGCTAACTGAGTGAATAAACTGTTTTTAAACTTATTAAGTGATTTTAAAAAGTAATATTTTAATTTTCTCAAAGTAGAACTGTCACACCACAGGACTAACAAAAATGGATGATCATTTGGCAGAAAGTATGAAATTTGTTAAATTAATAAGATTTAAACTCACCATCTAACCTTCATATCACGGCCAAATATCTGAGGGACCTTCTTGTTCTCGCTTGACAAAAAGACCCCAATAGTTGTCATCAAAGTGCCTTTTTAAAAAACCTAAACATCCATGTCAGGCTGCAGGACAGCATTTTCATTACAAAACTTACTGTAATTATTATTGTGGGAGTCTTGTGCTTTTTACAACCTTATTTTGTCAAATTAAACATGTATAAAATAATTCCCAAAGCCTTTATAAACAGCTCTACGTGTTACTGATTTAATTTATAAATGTTTATATTTCATACTTAATTTATACTACTGTCACACCACAGGACATTTTGCATGTTTACCTTACAATAACAAACAAAATAAAACTCATCTACCTTCCAAAAGTTTTTTGGAGGAAAAACAAATATTAATAAATATTTTTACTTGATTACGGTAAAGTCAGGTGTCATGTCACCCATCCAAATATATTTGAAGAACAAAATAGGTCAAGCAGCGTAAAAATGGTACAAGAGTGCATTTGTTTTTCATTTTGGCATTTTTTCTGCACGCCTCTATAGAAAATTAATGTTGTATGCACTGCATTTCACTGTTTTCACTGTTATAATTGCATTGAAATAGGATAATCTATAATTGATAAAGTACTGCACAGTGGAAAGCAGTATAGCCGTACATTCATTATATAATGATACAAAGTGGATTGCATTCAGTTCCACAACAGGGCCCTTCAGCATTTAAGAAATGCAAATCCATGTATTGTGTTTCAATTAAGATGTCAAGTGACGTTAAATCAGTGTAATAGAGGGCTTGTTTTTAATTCTGCATTTCACTATGGAAGAGTAATGTATGATGGACCAGAGCTGCCAAAATTAAAAATTAATAAAATGTAAAAATAAATAACTCAGTAAATTAATCAATAAATGAAAATAACTAAATAAAGTATATGTTTTTATTGTGATTATAATTATACACATAATTCCTTTTTCTGCAATTATATATTTCTCAATTTATTTATTTCTGTATTATTTTTTTTATTAATGCCTATATATTTTTTTCTGTAGATATATTTTTGTAACAATTTTTTGCTTTATTTATAGATTCATTCATTAATTTCTTTTTTTTTCAGTAATTTTTTTATTTCTGTATTTCTTTAGTTCTTCGTGAGGGTGCATGATACTACAGGGTCAACCTCTGTATCAGCAGAGGCAGAAAAATGGACCAAACTGTCCCCACAGCCTCCACATGAAAGAGTAAATAATCCGTACCTGCATTTTCAGCCAGATCAGCCGAGATCTCTGACTGTAAGCAGCCATTACTGTACTGTCTTGTCCTTAGTTACCGCTGACAGAGCAAGACATGTACAATCGATCTACAGAATCTGAAATCAATCAACCAATAGGAATATTAAGATGCCGGGACATCATTGATTGACAGCTCCTTTATTATCAGAAGGACAAAGAAAATACAGAAATAAATAAATATAGAAATGAATAGTTATGGAAATGAATGAATAAAAAAAATCTTAATAAAGAAATATATAAATAACAAAATAAATGAATACAAAAATTAGTGAGGAGGGGAAATTACTAAATAGACAGGTAAGTAAATGCAGACATTAATTTATACAAGATTTTATTTATTAATATATTGATTTCTATGTATATTTATTCTTTTATTTATCATCATTATTCTTTTCAATTCTAATTCATATATTAAGTTATTTATTTAGTCATTTATTTTTTTTATTTATTTTTCATTTTGTTAGATCTGGTCCGTCATCGTAATGCCATGTGTGCGCTGCACTTCACGTTTTTCCACAGCAGTGACTGCTTTTCGCGAATTCTTCTACATACACCGTGAGGCTGATCTGTAAAACATGTTCTCCAAACACTACTAGGGGTGAATGAGTTGGAGATCAGTGAGTCTGCGCAGCGCTGCTTGACCAATAGCAGCCGGAGCTCTCCAAGCTCTCCGCTCTGAGGTGAACCGTTACTCAGAGCCCTTCGGTTCATCTTTTCTTGTAAATCGGCTTTAAAGTAGTCGTTTTCACAGTGCGCTTGTGTTAAACGTTTGAAATGTACCCTGGTTGAGGAATTTGAGCCATTTTTAAATGTGTAAAAACCCTGAAAATCCGACAATTTTAATACACAAATAGAACTATATATCCTGTAATATTCTCAACCCAAACCTCCCTTTTTCTGATTAAAACTGGTTGGTTACGGGTCATTTAATGTCGAGACCAGAATCCACCAAAAAAATAACCTTAGAAGTTAATTTCAGCGCTGTTTTCTCTCAGTTAGCTTGGTTAGCTAGCTCCCGTTAGCTAGTTAGCTTACGCTAATGAGGCTAATCATAAAATAGCTTCAGACTCACCAAACCGTCTTCACTGTACCCTGTGAAGGTTCTTCAGAGGCAGTTTGCTTATTAAAATTAAAAAGTGCTATTTTAACTAAGATTGTAGTTTGAAATATTATATATTTTATGTATTTTCTCTGCTTTTCTCTCTCTCAGTCAGTTGTGGAGTAACGTCTCTGGCGCCGAAGCTTCTTAAAGGGACAGGCAACCTTTAAATACTGGCTGATATACGTATTTCTGTGTGAATTTGTACAGAAGCAATATTTATGATCATATTTTAAATTATTAATTTTAAACATATTAAATTATTCAGATATTAACATTACATTTTTAACATGTCAATTACTTTTAACATAAAATAATCGCTGCCATATTAAGACTCATGTATTATTACTATTATCAGTGTTTATTATTATTATTATTATTATTATTATTATGTCCCACCATTTAAACAGCAAATAGTATTCAATTTACCAATAGGAACTGAAAAAAATAACAGAAAAATAGTACACTGATTTTTTTATTTTGTTTTTTTTTTTTGCTTTTATTTGTATGTTTTTTTATATTTCTTATACAGTCATTTACTTGTTTTATTAATTGCTTAAGTTGCCATTTTTATTTTTATTTTATTTCATTATCTTTTTAATTTTATGCTTTTTTGACATACACTCCTGTAAAGCCCTTTATACTGTGAGCTTGTCAGCAGTTTTACTCTGATCGATGTAAAGACCAACAGAGTGTTTCTGTTTTCCTAATAAAGATTAAATAAACGAATTTATAGCTTAATGTAAGAGTGGAAAAACAAACTCGATTTCGTACAAAAAAAAAACATCAGAACCATTAGGATTAAAACCTGATGGTTTTACCCATCAGGAAAACACAGATAACACAGATAATTAATATAATGTAAAAATAATCTCTCACCGCTGAATCGGGTTAAAACTCGCTTGGTTGATCTTCTGAAGCTCCACTGCCTTCTCGGTTCCAACGCCGATGTGAAGAGCTGACCAATCAACACACTGCTCATATGAATCACCAACCAATCGTAGCGCAGGAGGCGGGGTTTGTCGAAATACGGGTGGAATTAAAAAATCACGCCATACTCCGTGATGATGCTGTTGATCACGTGAAGCGCTGGCGGCGCTATTTCCGTAGCTGAGCTTCTCCAACCCCAGTAAAGCGGAGAAGCAGAAGCTCCGCTCTGGTCAGCAGTCCACGCCTCCGCGCTGCTACGGTGTTGTTGGAGGAGACGAACACGAGCTGGTCTTATTGAGGTAGAACCCTGTGTTTTAGAGAAATGGTTAGAAAGATGTTGGATTTTTTAAAGGGTAGGATGACAGAGACCTGGTGGAGGAGCTAATCTGGCTCCTCTGTTCCTGAAGTTTATTCAGCTTCAGCTGGCCAGGCTGTTTTTTCAGCAGGGGGGTCCCCATCAATCTTTGTCCACAGGTTAGCCGTCAGCCCCACGTTCAGATGCCCAGTTGAGTAAATGATGAGACTGAGATGGGTGAAATTTGTACACTGATTCCCTCTTAGCCTATCAGGGAGGTCCTAAGTTATTATTAGTGTATACATAGGGTTAAAAGCCAATTTTAACTTGTGATTATAGTGATAGCTCTGGTGCATATAGATGTAGCGGATATATTTTAGCTTTTTTTTTTGTAATCAGCATTGAGCAAACATACAGCTGTTTGTTTAAGCTTTATACACGAGTCACACAGCTCTGCTGGAAAAAGACCATTGGGATTAAAACCTGATGGTTTGGCTTTTTAATGGGAATTGGCTTAATGGTTACCATTGGAGACCACTGGGTTTCTGTAGGACACCTTTAGAAACCATCAAATGCATCTAGTATCAGAACACCTGTACAACCACAATCCTTTACATTGTGATACCAGCCAGTCAGGAAAACACAGAACACCATTAGTGACTCTTGGACACCACCAGCAACCAGCAGAATTTTTTCATGGTTTCTATGATTTTTTTCAGCAGGGAAGAGCTATAATCAATAAATGTGTTGCGTTCATATTTATTGTGGTAATTAATGCTCCTATCGTCACTGCCCAGTGACAACCATGTATTTCCATTTTTGTCTATTTTTATTTCATGATGAATGGGCAAACAGAACTGCTCTAAAATCACATGGAATACAACCTCTTTACATTAACTTACATTGAAAGGTAAGAGTGTTTTTGCCCTCTCCTGTAAAGTTACTATTTTGGAGATACTTGTTTTTCTCTGGACAGTGATGTTATGTAATTGAGATTTAAAATGCTCTCTTGCTTTTGAACTTTGCCAGTTTCATCCCAACAGCTTATCAAATGTGCTTTTTCCCTTTTTTTTTGCATGTCTTCCTGTAAATGTATATACAGACCCCTCCAGAATTATTGGCACTCCTGGTAAAGATGAGTAAAAAGGGTTATAAGAAATCCACTTTTTGGTGAATAATCTTAATATCACACTGAACAAATTAGAAAAATCCAGAGTAAAAACACAAAACACTCAGTTTCAACTGGGTTATTTCTTTTAGAATATGGCAAAAAAGTAAATATGATAGAATACACCCATGTTAAACAAATATATATTTTAAAAATGAACAATTACTAGTTGTTTATAATAATATATACTTTTATAATAATAATGATAATAATATATAATTTATAATAATAAATGTAAGCAATAGAAGTTACTGTGAATCATGGCTGTGATTGGGTTGCAGGGATGAGCTGAAGTTCAGTAAAGTAGATCATCACAGTTGTAATGTTGTTCACCATAACACAGTGTTCTACTGCCTCATACAGCAGTTCTTCAAGAAAACACTGTAAAACAAAGAAGCCCTGAATGTTACATCAAATAAGCTTTTATTTTGGAAAATTCCTTCCATCACAAAAAGTAGTCCTCTTTAGTGTTACAGAGCCATAAAACTGTGAATATCAGGTTGAGTTAATTTTTTTTTCAGTGTTTTCCAGATGAAGCTGAATGTGGTTTTGTTCCAGTCTGGCTGATTCCAGTTTGTTGTCTTTTTCTCCTCCAGAAATGGGTGACTTCCTGTTGCAAGCCCTCGCCTGCTCCTGATGTCCACTTTCCTACAGTTCAGTCTGATCTCCACAAACGTGTCGGGAGATGCCAGGAATCCTTCAGACTGCTGAAATCAGGAGAGATACAGCATGAGATTATGGCATCCAGAAGAAGCTCCAGTACTCAGCATTTGTCCTCTGGTACTCTCCACACTCCCAAACAAACACAGAGCTATAAAGTCAGGGAGAAAACACACCGCTGCTCAGAGTGTGGGAAGAGTTTCAGAGACAGAGGTAACCTCGAAGCACACCAGCGCATTCACACAGGAGAGAGACCGTATCACTGCTCAGAGTGCGGGAAGAGCTTCACCATACAGAGTAGCCTCCAGCTACACCAGCGCATCCACACAGGGGAGAAACCGTATCACTGCTCAGACTGCGGAATGAGTTTTAAAGACAGTGGTACCCTCAAAACACATCTGCGCATTCACACAGGAGAGAAACCATATTACTGCTCAGAGTGTGGACAGAGTTTCACTGTGCAAAGCAGTCTGCAAAGACACCAGCGCATCCACACTGGACTGAAACCGTATCACTGCTCTGACTGTGGAAAGAACTTTAGAGACAGAGGGAATCTCAAAACACACCAGTACGTCCACACAGGAGAGAAGCCGTTTTGCTGCTCGGACTGCGGGAAGAGCTTTACTGTGCAGTGTGGGCTCCAGAGACACCAGCGCATCCACACTGGAGAGAAACCGTACTACTGCTCTGACTGTGAGAAGAGCTTCCGGCACTCCAATACTTTAAAAGCACACAAGTGCGCGAGGAGAGAGGAGGAAAGTCCTGGCTAAAAAGTTTGTCTAATAAATAACTTTTATGATATGATTTTTCTGGTTCACATGAATGGTGTAACCTAATTTTTCATATAAATGTCTTTGAATGAAGGCAACTGTTAGTAAGAAAAAATGATTGTTTGATTGTCGTGGCCTGCTCTCTTATACATGATTAAGCCTAGACCTGGACTGCACAGGATTTTGAAGGTGTATTCTCCTTTGAAAAGAAAATATAGTCCTCGACTAGGCTTAATTCCTGGGGAAACTGGCCCTATAACTGTATAATTGAATTGTTTCTGGCTAATAACATCAGGCTTCAGGAACTGCAGATGAAAATTGACCATTTCACCCACACTGGCAATCTATATTTGGATTGATTAATGTGCCTTGTCTCTAAAATAAATAATAATAATTGATGATTTTGTAATTATTGTGCATATATCATGTGTATTTATACATTGATGAGTGCACATTTCAGTTCTGATACCTTTTGATTTGTGATTTAAGTATGGAATATGAAGGAATGGCTTTCTGCAGTCTGAGAAGGAGTTTGTGTACTCAACACTGTCAGAAATAAAGTTTCATTTTTCATTCATCAAGGTACAAACAATGTAAATTTTCCCTTAAAGGTACAACAGCAGTTTTAAGGTCCAACTGTGAACCTAAAGTAAATTTTTCTCAGGAAAAAGTACATATTTGTTCCTTTTTATAACCTGATGTTTTACAACAGAACAATAAAAAGGCTGGAGTCAAGACAGGGTGAGTAGAGTCAGTGCATCTAAAAAATATATAGTTGCAAAGGGTTATGGTACAATTTTGTTCTGTAACTGAAATTTCTGTACTCTCAGAAATAAAGGAAGTAAACTGTCACAAGGGCAGTGCCCCTTTCCTCACTGGGGTGGGACCCTCAAGGGTTCATCTCAGTACCTTTAGTCAGGGAACATAACTGAACCATAATCCACTGAAATATTTTCTAACACACCCCGTCTCGTCTCCAGGCTTTTTATTTTACTGTTCTGTTTTAAAACATTCAGTTATGAAAAGGTACAAATACAAACTTTTCACCTGGACAAACTTATTTAAGGTTCACAATCAGACCTTAAAACCACTGTTGTACCTTTAAGGGAATGAACTGCTGTACAAAAATGTTCCTGCACAGAACCTTTATTTCTAACAGTGAAGATGTACCAATGAGGGCTCCACCCCACTGACAGTTTAGTACTCAGTAGTGCATGCATTAAAGAGATTAAGCAGGCTGTGTACACTTGTCAGCAGTAAGTCTGCTGCTCAGGGTCCGTTTCCACGACTGTTGATGATCTCTCACGGTTCCAGAAGATTACAGACTATTGTTGTCTCCTCTCCACTTAAACTGTAATCCCGTAGATTTGAATGCCTCACAAATAACTTCTCTCAGGTCTTCTGAAATTCTCCGGTTCCCCTGCAGTCCAGGTGGGGGCGCTAATTCCAGAACCGAGCTTTTCCAGCTCTGCTAAACAGAAGAAGCAGAGGATCCGCTCTGGTCAGCAGTCCACGCCTGACTAACAGAGATGTATTCTGTGTTTACGTTGTGTTGTAGTGGCCATTGTAGAACTGGTTGGAGAGAAAACCAGTATATGTTGTGTTCTGGATGCTGCTCAACCAACCTTACCATACTGGGTGGCCATGTAAACCAGCACCAGGTCTGTGCTGTTTTTTTTTTTTTAGCAGAGCTGATAAAGTGCAATTAAAATGTACACTCCTACATACTTAAAAGAGACGGTTCTTCAAGGGTTCTAATAAAGGCAATCGTTCTGTTTAAAACTATGAGTTGTGTATAGAACCATTTGCATGCTTAAATGGTTCTTTGCGTGGTGAAACGGTTCTTCAGATTGGAGAATGAGTTGTTTATGGTTCTGTTTAACATGAAAAAGGTTCTGCTGTCATTACCATGCTAAACTTGTGATACTGCTAAACAGTAGGCCCCTTTATGGTGCTACATGGAATCATTTTCAATAAGGGTCTATGTAGAACCACCCCTGCTGAAAAAAGACCATTAGAACCATTAGGGTTAAAACCTGATGGCTTTGCTTTTAAATAGGAATTGGCTTAATGGTTACTATTAGAGTCCACTAGTTGCCTGTAGGACAACTTTAGATCCCATCAGGAAACCTTCAAATGCATCTGGAATCGGAACACCTGTTAAACCATTAGATTCCTTTACACTGTAATATCAACCCATCAGGAGTACACAGAATACCATCAGTGACTGTTGGACACCAGCAGAACCTTTTAATGGTTTCTGTGATTTGTTTTCAGCAGGCATATACAGCACATTCTACACCAATCTGAAGAACCTAAAGCATGCAAATGGTTCTATATAAAACTCATGGTTTTAAATATACCCATTCACTAAGGAACCATTTTTTTAAAGAGTGTATGTACAAATGTGTTGGTAAAACAGCAGCTGGTTCTAGAGTAAGATGTGAGCTGTGATGTAGGGTGAGGTTCTCCCTCTCTCTCTCTTCAGAAGTTTGAGTGTCAGTTTACTAGGAGGGAACAGTAGGCTTTCTGAAGCTTTTAATCAACTGAATCAGCATCTTTAGAAAATGATTAAAACATGGCAGAGTGGCGTCATCTGCTGGTCAGATAATTTAAATGTATCGTGAAAACACAAAATTAAAAAGTCTGTAATATGCTAAAATAAAGAAAACTGAAGTTTTTAGAATGTGTAGGCTTTTTATACATAATTAGTTATAGTTTATTCAAGTTAATTATATTGGATGTGTGTGTGTGTGTGTGTGTGTGTGTGTGTGTAAGACAGATAGAGTTCATGGTATTTCTGCATGACAAATTCATTTTTTACAGTTTGATCATATCAGTCATAACTTGATTTAAATTCAGTTAGTGTTACAAAATGATGGTTCTGCAATGGTTATTTAGTGAAGACAATGGGTCTATACAGAACCATGAACACTCAAAGAACCAATTTCATGATTAAATGCTTGGTGAATTCATTCTCCAGATTGATGAAGAATGTGTTGTAAATGGTTCTTTACAGAACCTTTTTGTAAAGTGTTTTTTATCCCTGCTGAAAAAACCTATAGAGCCCATTCAAGGGTCAATTGCTGGTGGTATCCAATAGTCTGTAGTGGTGTTCTGTGTTTTCCTGATGGGTTGATATGACAGTGTAAAGGACTCTAATGGTTTAACAGGTGTTCTGATTCCAGATGCATTTGATGGTCTCCCAATCAGATATAAAGGTGTACTACAGGAAATAAGGTCTCTAATGGTATACATAAAGCCAATTCCCATTAGAAATGAGAACTGTCATAATGCTTCTAATGGTCTTTTTTCAGCAGGGATAGCACCAAAAAGGGTTCAGCTATTGTTATAAGCTTGACATTGTAACAGAAGAAGAGCCTTTTTTGGTAACGTACAGAATCATTTTCAAAAAAGTTCTACACAGAACTATATACAACACATTCTCTGTGAATCTGAAGAACGATTTCACCATGCAAAGAATCATTTATGCACGCAAATGGTTCTTTGAGTGTTCATGGTTCTGTGAATTATCTTTACTAAAGAACCCGTGAAAAAACATCTTTTTAAGAGTGTAGTGTCATGTGACCAAATGGTTCACTCTTTAACTGTTTACTATGTAGTATTTGCTGTATTTTGAACTGCTTTCCCTGCTGGAAAAAACACCAGCTCAAACCAGCATGAATTCCACAAATAAATCAGATGCATGTGGTGGCCCTGTCAACTGTTGACCAGTATTATTGATTTTGGAAAATACAAGCTGTAATTAAGATGTTAGATAAACGACACATACACGTCTAAATCTTTGTTGATAACATTGTGCTAATGTATCAACAAAGTATTTTAATCGCTGACATTTTAACACTTTTGTCACAAGCTTAGTAATTCATCAACTGTTCTCAGCCTTTTTTCAGCACTGCAGACACTGACAGGTTACGCAGACAAAGATATGGACTATAATCTATGTATAGATTATGATCTGCAATTCTAGAACCACAAAAGCATCTATAAATAAATAGACCTGTTAAAATTGGCTGTTAGTGTAGCAATAAAGTGGTATTTTAATGTATTTAGCTTGCAAAGCTCATATGATTCAAACAAACTAGCATTATATTGAATAAATTGTCATCAAATTTTCTAGCAAACATTACAGCTAGCCCCTCAGGCCCTTGGTATGCTGGTCAGCAGCAATGAAAGTTAATATGCTGGTCAGCACCTAAACCAGCTTATGTTGTGTTTTGCATGTTGGTATGCTGGTCAACCAGTATGACTGTGCTGGGTGACCAGCTAAACCAGCACCCAGACCAGCTTAGACCAGCGAGGAGTGCATGCTGTTCTGTGCTGGTTTTTATATAGGATAAACAAAGTCTAGAGGAAATAATCCATATTTCTGTATACTTTTATAATTTGTCAAAATCTTCAGAAAAGTATCTATCGTATATCACATGTACATATCATATATATACATATAGATATATCACCAATCTGAAAAAAGCTGAAATAAAGGATTTGTGGCCCAATGCAGGCAGGTCTGGGCAAGAATGGCACTAGGTTTTGTGAGTGCAGGTGAATGTGATAAGTGGTTGAAGACGTAAATTAACTTTATTGCTCTAAATAGTCTCAGATCCAGGGCTAGCTGCTCTGAGGTGGCACTGGTGGAGCTCCACAATGTGCAGTGTTTATTAGCTTATTAGTTTAATGCATTGAAATTAAACTTAACATGAAATAAGGAGGATTGGGGGAGTCGTGAGGAGGATAAAGCAGAAAGCAAAAAGGTAGTTTTCCCAACAGACATTATTTCTGTCTCTCTCTCTCTCTCTCTTTTGCTTTCTCTGTTTAGTAAAAAAAAAAATAGGGCACTTCATCATATTTGATCATATTTTCGTTCAGTTTTTTCTGTTTTTAGTTACCGCTACTTAAAATAAACTGCTTCTACCGCTGACTGGATGCGTTATGCACCTGGAAGTACAGCCAACGCTCATGTTTACAAACATTCCAAGTTGGTCTATTTATTTCTCACTTTGCAAGTGCTGTAATTAAACACATTGTGTATGTTCAACTTTCATGTTTATAAAAAGTTTAGAGTCACTGTTAAAACTGCATCTCGTGAACATTAAAAACATAGTCCTATAATTGGCTTTATTTTTTTATTTCATGCTTTTGTTAAATTTCACATTGAGGTTTTAATGTTTTATCATTATTTTCCTTTTTTCTCTCATTCAGAAGTGAATGGTGCCCTGTTGAAAGTCTCCATGAAGAATTCAGGAGATGCCACCAAGAGGAATATGTTGGACTGTTGAAAGAGGAGAAATGAAGGGTGAACAAATGCCGTCCAAAAGAAGCTCCGCTACTCAGCAAATCCTCTGATGCTCTCCGCACTAATATGGCTTACAGACAAATGCAAAAAAATACAGGCAAGGAGAGAACGCACCGTTGCCTGGAGTGTGGGAAGAGTTTTATTCAACAGGTTCATCTGAAAGATCACCAGCGCGTTCACACAGGAGAGAAACCGTATTGCTGCTCGGAGTGCGGGAAGAGTTTTACTCGACAGAGTAGTCTCAAAATACATCAGCGCATCCACACAGGAGAGAAACCGCATAGTTGTTCCGAGTGTGGGAAGACTTTCAGAGACAGCAGTACCCTCAGAATACACGAACGCATCCACACAGGAGAGAAACCGTATCACTGCTCGGACTGCGGGAAGAGCTTCACTGTTCAGAGTGGTCTCCAGCTACACCAGCGTGTCCACACAGGAGAGACGCCGTATAACTGCTCGTTCTGTGGAAGGAGCTTTAAAAACAGAAGTAATCTTCAGGAACACCAGCATGTTCACACAGGAGAGAAACCCTATTACTGCTCAGACTGCGGGAAGAGCTTCACCCAACAGAGAAGTCTGCAAAGACACCAGCGCATTCACACGGGAGAGAAACCGTATTGCTGCTCATACTGTGGAAAGAACTTCAGTGAACGAGGTAACCTCAGCAGACACCAGCGCATTCACACTGGAGAGAAACCCTTTCCCTGCACGGAGTGCGGAACAAGGTTTGGTGACAGAGGCACTCTCAAAACGCATGAGCGCACTCACACAGGAGTGAAACCGTATCACTGCTCCGAGTGTGGGAAGAGTTTCACTCAGCCAGGTCATCTCCAAAGACACCACCGCGTTCACACGAAAGACAGGCCGTACTACTGCTCAGACTGCAGGAAGAGTTTTGGGTATTCTGATACGTTAAGGACACACAAGTGCATTAAAAGGGAGGAGGAAATGCTTGGCACTTGTCAGATCTGAAAACTCAATCATATTTTTTTTTTTTTAACATAATGTGATCTGGGTACTCCGGTTTCCTCCCACAGTCCAAAGACATGCAATCAGGTGAATTGGACACGGTAAATTGAGCGTATGTGTGAATGTATATGTCTGTCTTTCTGCCCTGCGATGGACTGGTGACCTGTCAGGGGTGTTTCTTGCCTTCTGCAGGACAATCACTGGGATAGGCTCCAGCACCCCCTGTGACCCAGAAGGAAAGCACTTGTTCTTGTAATTTGTATGCCTGTATGATTGGAATAATGCATATTGCACTGTCAGAAAAACCTTGTATCTCCACAAAAAGTGGAAAACTTGATTAAGGAAAAAAACGTTTTTGTTTTGAAACTTTATTGCCGTTAACACATTAACAAGCAATTAATACTATATTACGAAATCACGTCGAGGCTGGGCTTCACTTGACACATATACATATGTACATAGAGTAACATCCTACATGGATGGAGGCTACCCACATCTACCTATGATTAAAAAAACTAAAACACTGGAGGATGGATGGATAAATAAATAAAAAATAACATGCGATTCCTAACTGAGGTAAAAAACTTGACAGAGGGTGAACGGCAGCTGGCGTTTTCATATTATGTAAAAAAATTATATAAGTTTTTTTTCTGGCAGTAGTGAAATACTGTTCAAGAGTGATTATATCAATAATGCTTGCATGTTACATTCTATACTTACAATTCGTGATTTAAGCATGTAATAGAAAGAGTGTCCTTGGTGCGAGACATTATTTCTGTAACTTCAAGATTTGCTCCTTTTGGTCAGTGAGTGCAGGACACCTGTCAACTGCTAGGTGATATTAGTCCAGAAATGTGAGATTTATTTTCTTCACACAAACAGGGTGACCTTGAGGCCTCACCAGACATCTCAAGGCATGACTGTAAGAGACATTAGCACCGTATTATGGATCATACATGATATAAAATTACATTTTCAGAGTCGGCTGAGTGATCTGTTCACAGGTACTGTTTTCTTTGGAGGAACTATCAGTTGTTTTAATCATCATAAAAATGTTCCTGCCAGAAGAATTCTACAGTCTAACAATGTAAGTCTGGTATTGATTCATTTTTGTGTACCAAAGAATTTTGCTGTATATTGAATGTTATAAATTTACTGGTTAATATTAGTTGCTGTTAATTTTATTATTATTAATAAGACTATTCTGACACTATCCAAATTTCTTTGATCCAAGTATCCAAGTTTCTTTAGAATACCATCACCTGTTCTGAGCATAATTGTCTTTTCCAATGAATTGGTTCTCCTTATAATGTGTCCATAATAAGAGCTTAATTTTGGTTATCTGGGCTTCGAGTGATACGTTCATGATCTGAATAGTAAATGGTGTGTTCTCCTAAATGCATCCTAACGTGGTTTACTTTAGTTCACTGATCTCGAGAATGTTGATGCAGGCAATCCATTTCCTTATTTCTTCTTGTGTTGGAGGCTTCTGTGTAATTTTCTGTTAAATGTTTCATGTTTGTCTTTTTTTCCCCGACATTTAAAAACTTGTACTGGTGGGTGATTTTGAGTGGAAAATAAATGAAAGAGTTTTGAAGAGTACTGAACACTTCTTATTTGGCAAACATTTACAGTCTCCTGATATGAACAATTAATGTTGCCTTTAAAATGGCTTTTTACACATTGTTTACATATTTTATATTTTTCTGAATTTTTAAAAATCTGTCCTAATTCTGATTCTGAAGGAAAAACTTGACATTAGCTTCTTCCAACATACTGCCCACCTCAAAGCCAACAGAGGATGAACAAAAGTGCAAGAATCAATGTAGCCCCGCCCCAGCAAGATATTTCATCTTTTGCTCCGCCTCAGCAAGATATTCCAGCGTTAGCCCCGCCTCCAACCCAGTTTCCCCGTTTAGCTCCGCCTCCTCATCAGTTCTCCCCGTTTAGCCCCGCCTCCTCATCAGCCGCGGTTTGGCGCTCAGTTGTGTCTCTCCGTCGCGCGCTCTGTGCTGTGGACTCTCAGTGAGGAGTTAGCTTAGCAGCTAAAACAAACAGCTCTACAGAAAAGGACTCAAACACAGAAAAAACACCAACAAAAGCCGTTAATGTTGATCAGAAGCTCAACACGCGGCTCAGCAGCACATCTGGGGGAGTTTATTTCACTGGTTTTCCTCAGAAAACCACAATCTCTGTTTTAGCGTTTAGTAGCTCATCACGCTAATCCTGTTAGCTTTCCTGGCAGGACAGCTCAGTGTAAAGTGGGTTTAACTCAGCTAAACGCTAATATAACGCACTAAACCCACACGGTACCGACCCATTTTACTGGATTAAGGACAGTTTTACTGAAAGCTGTGGAGGGAAAATGTTCTTTTTGCCTCGTTAGACACTGAGCAGGTTAAAGCTACCATGACAGCAGACAGCTGACATGTAGAACATTCCAGAGATATGAAAGCTGCTCATATTCAGGTGAGTCTTGGTAAAGCAGGTAGATGCTGGGAACAAACAGCACACTTTAAAACTCTTTGTAGGAGTTTATTTTATTAATATAAACTTAGTTATGACAGGTGAATGAGAGCACATTGAACAGGTAACTCAGCTGTTAGAACCTGATAAAGAAAGCAAGGTTCTAGATTAAGTACACTGACAATATGGGGAAAAGAAGTGATTATCTGTTGTATTGTTCTAAGATATCATTATTTTACCTCATGAAAAGAATATTAACATGTATGTTGCTGTGAGTTTCTGAGTGATGGAAACAAAAAAAATGATAAGGGACAGTTTTGGGAAATAACAGTGAAATCAATTCTGTGATAGGAACAACTGTGGATGATTCAGAGTTGCTATAACTAACTAAACCTGTATAGTGACTGTTTTCTTCTTAGGTCACTTCACTTCTTGTGGAGACAAGAATCAGATACAAAACCTCCCTCAGCACCTTCAGACCTTCACACCTGCACGCCAGCTCAGCTCTTCACTTCTGGACTCTCATGTGCTTCCTTGAGATCTGATTGTTCTCATAAGGTAAGATCTTACAGTGTTAGTGTTCTCTAGCGCCCCTCAGTGGTGGAACTCTGCACTGCACAGTGCTCTTCAGGTAAAACCTTGGGTATCATCTCTCTGATCTCATTCACTCTTCACTTCTTAATCCTGCACACTTTTTATTTTGCACTTAATGTTTGAGTTAAGAACCGTCGAACAAACCTATTTGTTTAAACCTCTTGTCTTTTACGTCATAGATCCCTGCAGTTTTCCAGCACTTCATCTCTGTTTGGTTTCCACTGTTTACACATTTTGTAAGCATTTTACATTTTATAAATCAATCTGCCAAAATCAATAAGCATACATTTAAATGTGTTGTAGCTAATGCTAAAGCTGCATTCTCAAGACTCTCGACAACTGTCATAGTTAAATTCTCCTATAAAAAATGTATATTAATTTATTAAAGGATCAGATTATAGTAGTTTATATTAGGGTAACTTTTTAAATATGTTTGTAATCATGTAATTTACTAAAAATTACTAAAAATTAAAATGAGCAATTTAGAGGCACCAGAATTTCTGCATGCTCATACTGGTTTACACTAAAACATAGTCAGTCTTTCTTCTTGTTGTTGTTATTATAAATAATAATAATAATGATAATCATATTCACTACTACTACTGTTACTATTATTATTATTATTATTACTGACACTATTGCTAGTGAGGTAGATATGTTATGCTCTGATGACTGTGATTTAGAGATAAATCAAACCCATAAATCAAACTAACAAACCTGCCCTCGTCTGCTCTCATCAAAAGGTTATTTAAACTGGTTTTAACTCTCTACACTTGGACTATTATTGCGTAAAATCATATTTAAAGATGGTGTTCGCTGCTGTTCAGATGTTTAAGCATGACCGGATGTAGCTTTCACAAGATTCTCTGGAATGGACCAACTGAATAAATAAAGTTTGTCAGTCAATCAGCCCATAATGTAACAATGAACCTGGATATTTATTAAAGTCTTGCAGACTCAGGACGGCTGGTTATGAACTGTAATCATTCACCAGCTGGACCTTAAAATAATAATGACGTCTTTAGTTTCGGCTAAATGGTCACTGCAGCTGTTTCTAGCGGGATGTGTTCCCACTAATAATTAAAATCCTGGAGAGAAATCGCTTGTCTATGAATTTAATTGTATGTAATGCATCACTGTCTCTGCAGTCAGTGTGTGAAAATACAGTGTTTGGTCTTTGCAGTTGCTGCCGTCTGTTTGTGGCAAAAGCATTGTCACCATCCCTCTGTGTCTCTAGCAGAAACAACTATCTAGGAACCAAGAAGGACCTTCTCACCATGTTGGAGATGAAGCACATACCACTCTGCTTAATTCATTAGTAATCCACATTTACAAAATGAAATTAGAATTAGGATTAAAATGGGAAAAGTGGGAATTTGTGCCCATTCAGGGAAAAGACCATTTGTGAGGTCAGACATTGATGTTGGACGAGAGGATCTGGATCACAATCTCCGTTCCAGTTCATCCCAAAGGTGTTCAGTGGGGTTGAGGTCGGGGCTCTGTGCAGGCCACGGGAGTTCCTCCACACCATTCACACCATTCTGACTGACTCTTGGCACAGATCACACCTAGATGTTTTTTAAGTGGTCTCGAGTGAAACAGGAAATGACCCTGAGCTGAAAGTGGAGGAGTGAAGACAGAACACACAAGACAGATCACGTCTTCTGTGTCTTTGCTGACTTTCTCTCTGCTGAGATCAGAACAGTTCATAAGTGTATGAGAGTCAGAGTGAGGAGCTTCTGGACCTTCTGGAATCCGCTGTGTTTGAAGAGTGATGCTGCCATGTTTTCCCAGAGCTCAGCAAATATTACAGCAGCACTGATCCTCATTTTACTGGCAGGTAAACTTTACATTTATTTACATTTCTGCTCTTAATGCGTTTGTGTTCCACAGCGTTGATCTACATCTGTGTCAGATTACGTGTAGAGACTAAAAATCCTTCATCATATAACAGTTACAGTGTTTTTCAGAACATTTTAATACGTTTGACACGATTGAGTCACAGGAAGTGGCTTTAGAACAAACAGCAGTGCAACAGTAACTAAAGACTAATAAGTGATACCATTTTATAATCTCTAAAAATTTACAGAGCATTCAGACTAACTGCAGCTTTAAGCTGAAGATCTTCATTATCAGAGCTTATTTGTGTGACTAACTCTTAAAGCTTTGAAGCTCTTTTGTGCTTATGAGATCTCCACCATCTTCACACATCTTTGGGTTGCTCTTGTACGGGGGGAGGGGCGACAGGTGTATACACTGAAGTATAAAAAAGTGAAAAATAAATGTGTTAACTGTTAAAATTATATATTATTTATTTATTTATTTCATATATATTTCTATACTTAGGGTTGGGATGTAGTGGACTACATGAATTGGGAATTGGGAATACGTATTCAGAATACAGAAATTAAGTATGTGTATGCTGTCAAAGTTATGTTTTGTAAAGGCAATATTCAGAAACCAGTTACTTTTTATATTTATACAATACAATATTCAAAAGAAACACCATCAATGCTTGTTTAACCATTAACTATTAACTATGGCAAGTAGCAATCATGCTCATTAGATGACTTCTAAAGAAGACCTCAAATAACTGCTTCTTCACAGTCACAGAAGTTCTGACTAAAGCCTCAGTAGACTGATAAAGGTGATGAGCTAGTTATTAATTTCAGCATTACTGAGTTCTTCTGGGGGATGATGAAACTGAACAGTCTCTTCAGTAGTGGACATGTTTGTGAGAGATAAGTTTAGCATCAATTATGTATGCTACAGCTCAGAGGACTGTGGGAGTAGCAGTGGACTGAAGCAGTTGATTAGAGAAATTTTTTTTTTAGAATATTCTTTTAACTTCATTCAAATAAAGTGAATTTTTCTTTAAACATATCAACAGAACAATTACATGAAGAAACTGCCAACCTATAACAGCGAGAAAGACTAAGAATTATGTCAAAAAGATTTTTCCATGTGTCTTACCCAGATGTATTCTAAACCTATTTTGAGTATGTGACTATTTATGTATGGTAATGGAATACAGTAATAAATACTTTAAGAACAGTGTATTCAGCTATCACTACTTTTCCGCTGTATTTTGCCCAACCTTGAA